CTGTGTGCCCGTTTCTGGGGTGACAGTCCCGCCTCTGAAGGCTTGTGAACATGAGGAACAGGAGGTTTGTACCCCATACCCCACGTAGGTGTGCTTCCTAAAGGGATGACTCAGCTAAGGGGGGAATCACAGATAGAAATGGGCTGGAGCCTGTGGTTCAGGGATACAATATTCACAAGAGGAGGAGAGGAGTTTGTCTGGGTCGATAGGGTAATCTTAAAAAAAATCTTTTTTTGAATGATTGAGCTGGATGATTTCCAGCAGGTTAATTACCCCTAATCTTTGTTCACTGGAGCGTGGCAGCTTTAAGCTGGCACAGGGGGAGCTGAAAAGAGGGGGTGCACAGAGGAGAAGCTGCCCTAGCTGAGGTCATTCACCTGATCAAACAAAAATGGGGAAGGGAATTTCAAAAATGCCTGAACTTTGTTCCTTATGTGTTAATTGAGCCACCAGGAGAGGGAAATAGTGGTTAATACGAGGTGAAGCAGGTGCATCTCCCAGTTTGGCTGGGGCATGTTCCAGAGGCAGCCTTAGCTCTTGTTTACCCACCTACCTGGGGCTGTGTTGTGCCTCCTTTGAGAGAGATTTGGGGTGATTTGGGGTGGTTCCTTTCCCCACCTGCTTCCCCATCTGCTCTGATTCTACTAGATCTCCCATCCTGCACTTTTCCTCTCGCTGCTGCATGAAGGAGAGGTGAAGTGGGTCTCAGGTGCCAGCAATTCTCTTATTACCTTTGTGTGTTTTATTTATTTACCATAAACTGTTATAGGATGGCCATCAGCATCGCATCAGGGTGACGTTTGAAATATATGGCTCTCGGGTTTAGTGCGTCACTCGGAGCCGGGAGTCTGCGAGATGTTAATTTTTATTGCCAGGAGTAGCCATAAATTGATAGTTGAGAATTGCTGTAGGGACTGTAATTAACTAGTTACTATTTCACCTCCAAAAGGAGCAATGTTTCACGCTCTTACTTTTACTTATCTGGAATCAGCTGCTGTCAACATCCGCTGAAGCCCGTATAAAGATTTATAGACCTTGGAGGTAAATATTGACTAATGGGCAGCTTGGCTTAATGTTCACCTTGAAGGACAATAAATTGTGCTATTGATTGAAGTGAGACGTCAATATCTGCATTGTTGTAAACATTTTAATAAAATTATCTCCATAAAATATTCTCTTTCTTTGGTTGATCCTGGCCAGTGGGATCAGTGTCTGGAAAATGCAGCAGCACGGTGGAGAGGGCAGGGCATTGCTTCGGGATCACTGGTGGGACTTTGAGCAGCCAGAGACTGAACCTGTTGTGGGACCACTGTTGAGGTTATGCCTTTGGGCTTTAGAGGTGAAAATCTTGCAGCCCTGAGTGGCTGGGCTGGCTCAGCTTGATCTGAGATGCAGGGAGTTCCTATGGACACAGGAAAGAGCTCCAAGGAAGCTTTTTCAGTGGCATCATGGGCAGCCTTCAGCCAGGGAAAGCTGTGAGCAGTGTCCTAGAGACCTGAACATGGCTGCAACAGTGAGCCAGGGGACAGTGGCGTGTAATTAATTTGGGAACATGTGTTCACTTTCTGGTGAGTTATTATCTTGTCAGAAGCTCAATGGAAGCAAATGGGGAGGAGGAGTCAGAAGGGAGATGAGTTGGAATGGGAAAATGAGGAGAAGCAAGGGAAGGAGAAAGGCATGGAGGGAGGAATATGAATGCAGGAGGCATCTGCCCACAGTTCATCACATCCATGCTGTGTGGGACCCCAAGCACAGCTTGGCCATCTGTTGGGTTTGCCTTGGTGCTCTGTGCCACACCAGGACCTCGCCTCCGTGACTCCTCCACTGCCATGATGGTCAAACTTCCCTTTCCCTGAGGCTTCTAACAGAGATCTGAGGAGCAAGTCCTAAATAGTGTGTGCTGCTCTGTGTGCAGCCTCCTGCTCACTGAGCACAAGGATTCAGGCTCTGCTTTTCCATCTCCCCAGCTCGCTCTGTGTTAGTTCATCATCCTTGGCTGATGAGCCAGGATTATGCTTGTGCGTCGTCCATGGCCATTCCATTTCTGGCCTGTGTGATATTATTAGTATTAATAATAATAATGATGGGTGCTGGCTGTGCTGGTTTTCTAGCTCCTGAGGAGATGAGAGAGCTCTCCACTAATTCCTGCAATATTTCAGCTCCTAATTGTGCTCAAGCAGAGGCAGCCTTGAAAGTTCCCACCATCAGTTCAGGCAGAAAAGGACTGGTATGTCTGGCAGAGCTCCTGGAGCAGCAGGGCTCTGGTCAAGCCTTGCCCTGAGCATTCCCAAGTTCCAGGTGCTTCCAGGATGTGATCCCACAGAATGAAGCAGATTTATGGATCTGGCTTTCCTGCAAAACCACTTGTATAGGACAGGACAGGGGAATATTGTCTCAGTCACCTGGTGTCATCTGCTTCACCAGTGAGCAGGGACTCTTTATGTCACCTAAGTATTTGAGATGCTGTAGCTGGCACTGAGGAGGCATCCCTGGGCCAGAGCCTGCTGCAGGGAGGGTGTTCCTTATGCTGTTGTCATCTGAGCATGACTTACATCAGGTTGTACACAGGACAGAGACAGGAGTCAGCTCCAGCTCAGAGCATCCTGTCTCAGTCCTGGGCAGGCTCTGTTTGGCTGTAGCCAAATTCCCGGGATGCCAGACCCTGAGTCCCTGAACTTTGAGTTCTGCCTCTCCATCAGCTGATTACCATGCACATATCTCAGACTTCAGAGCTACCCAGACACAGAGGAAACCTTCAATTTTCTGAGCTTTTACAGGTGGAAATCTGACCCTTGCAGTTACTTTAATGAAGTCTTTTGCTGGGGAACAAAATGCACTCGAGCTGCTTTGCTCCCTGATCAAACCAGGCACACAAATTATGGCTTGACTCTGGCAAGAGCCAATTCTTGCCACTCCAGAACTTGGGAAAGGGCCTTTGGTGAGTTGGGAAGCAGTGTTATCTGAGCCTTTGCACAGCCCAGAGTCAGATTCATGCACGGAGCATCTGAGGGCCACCAGCTGTGTCGTTACTTTATCAGCAGGCAGCGCTGTGCTACAGAGAAGCCAATTCTAGGTCAGCCACAAAAAGGAATTTTTTTCCCCCCCTTCTCCTTTTTTTTTTGCAGTGCCGCAGGGCCGCTGGATGTAACGCTGTAATTTGTGTGTCTCTAAAGGATATTGATTTTGGGGTAACGCCTTCATATCTCACCCTTCAGTTGCACTAAGTACTGATGAGCTCAGCGGTTTGCACCACCAGCCGCTCGGGTGGGAATTTCAGCACAGGGCTGAGGACGCTGTTGGATGTCAGCAATTCATCAACAGGAAAACTCACTTCACTCCTTTCCAAAGCTCACAGGGCTGCCTTCCCAGTTAGGTCGGCCTGGGAAGGTGGGATGCACACATGAGTGCGTGGGGTCCTCAGTTCAGGGAGCAGTGGACATGCAAAGTCCCAGGAGTGTTGTGTGGAGGTGGCAGCTGCGAGGTCTGGTGCAGGAGAGAGAGCCAAGGTGGGATTTCATCACGGCTGAGCATATTTGTGCTAGTTTGAGTTGACAGTAGTGGCACCTGGGATTGCAGCAGCAGGATCCTGGCACATGCCTGGAGTTCTCACTGTGTCGAGCTGTTCCAGGGCATTACAGGAACACCATCGGTGCTGGCTCGGGTCTTCCCACGGTGGGTGGTGGAGTCTGACCACACCACTCCTGTAGCGTGGGAAGAGATGCCATAAAAGCCTCAGCCGGCGGGATGCAGGCGCTGTGTGCCCTGCTGGGAGCCTCCCACGTGTGCATTTACATGCATTTGTTAGGAGCAGGATGCACACGGTTGGCCGGTCAAGCGCAGCGAGTTGTGGCCCATCAGGTCACGCCAGCACAGACAGCGATATCCGGGTGGGAAGCGAGGGCTGGCCGAGCTCACGGCATCCCCCTGGGGACCAGGGACCTGTGCTTGGCCTCTCTGCCATTGGCACTCACTCTCAGAAACAGCTGTCCAGAGCTAATTTATTTCCTAATGCTGCAGCAATGTTAATTTATAAATTACACTGGTAATTCGAGCTATTATTAATTTCAGATGGTGTAGGGCAAGCCTAATTAAAATATGACACCAATTGCCACACATATGTACCAAGGACTACCGTTTAAAATTTATAGGAATATTAAGTGTGACACAGGGCTCGGAGATGCTCTGTGCAGTAATTACAGCATCCTGGCTGCAGGAGATCCAGTGGGGAGATGTAAACAACAGGAAAGGGAGACGTTGTCCCTGTTTTGCGGCCTGCAAAAAGTAATTTTTGCTGCTTGTTTGGGGCAAGAACCCGGGGAGTCTTGTGCCCCAGCCAGCCAAGCACTGTGTGTTTCCCAGACTGTGTCAAAATAAAGAGAGCTCCTAAAAGGAATGGGGGCTGAAAGATTTCAGAGTGAAGGAAATGCCACTGATTGCATCTTTCTGGCTCTGAGTGAAACAAGAAGCTGCACTGCAACCTTGATGGGCAAGAGGGGGACAAGTGCATCCCCCCAGAAATGAGCCTGAGTGCCACAGGCATGAGGTGTTTCAGCTAAAGGGAGGTGTTGGCACCACCGCTAATGGGAGTAGAGTTGCTGTGAATTAATTGAAGCTGAAGAATCAGAGAAAGGTGCTAATGTGAGCTGGGTGAGCCTGGAGGTACCTCCCAGCTGGGGGGATGTGCAGAGGTGAGCTCAGATCGTTTTGCAGGGTGCAGGTTTGCCCACTTTGCGCACCCTGAGCACCTCTGGGACATTATCCCCAGCAAGCGATGCTCTCAGTGAGGCCAGAGCTGCTGGAGCACTCCAGTGTTTGCGGAAACCTTTCTGGCAAGGATTTTCTTGGAATGGAGGATCACAGGCGCACGGGCAGTCTGGGCTGGGACCTGCTGGCTGCGTGTCCTGCTGCAGGGTGACATGCTCGCGGATGGTGACCAGCCAGCGGGCACAGGGTTGTTGTGCCTCCCCATCACTCAGGGCCTTCTGTCTCTGCCTCTGCAGCCGTGGGCTTCATCAGCGAGGATGAGTACCTGGAGATCACGGGAATCACGCGGGAGCAGTCGGGAGAGTACGAGTGCAGCGCCTCCAACGATGTCTCAGCGCCCGTCGTCCAGCGAGTCAAAGTCACCGTCAACTGTGAGTCCCTGGGGGCCATCGGGGACAGGGGTGGGGCTGGACAGGGGCACCATGCTGCCCCACAAGGGAGTGGCACTTGGAAGTGAGGCACACAGAGCGAGACAGGCGGCAGCAGTGTTTTTGAGCAGGTGGTGTTTTGCCCTATTTTCCCCTTCTTTTCGAGCTCCGTTTTTTTCCACCACCTCCTCCTCAGCTGTCTCCATCAACCTGGGTTTTCTGCCCGTGGAGAGATGCTGTGCTGATAACCTCTGAGGAGAGGAGAGAAGTGAGCAGTAAATAGAACATTTTTTTTTTTTTTTTTTCTGTTAGAAAAAATGAGAGAGAGGAAGAAAGCAACATATTTCATATTTAGACATACATAAAGACCCTCCTAAACCCCTCTCTGGCCACTCCATTAGCTGGACATGTAACAACCATGAGTTGAGGATCTCTTGTTTTTTGGAAGAGAACCCCCATGAACCTGAAAACCTCTGGACAGCAGCACCAGCGTGGCAGGAGCTGAGCATGGGCTGAGAGATGGTTTTGGCTCCTACCCTTGAGCAGGGAGAGAAAGGAGATCTTGAGCAGCAAGGGGAGAGGATAGGAGTCCCAAAGGCTGCTGGGGGCTCACCCCAGGTTTCCCCTCTTCCCACAGACCCGCCGTACATCTCGGACGCCAAGAGCACCGGGGTGCCGGTGGGGCAGAAGGGCATCCTGCTGTGCGAAGCCTCCGCTGTCCCCTCCGCCGACTTCCAGTGGTACAAAGATGACAAGAGGTAAGAGCCTGGGGGGACACACCGACCCCACAGGGGCTGCACCCAGTGCCAGCAGCTTCGGCTCATAACCCTTGGCACAAGCCTGGTTTGGATACCGAGGCAGGTCCCCCTGACAGCCTCAGGTTGTGCTTGTCTAGGGCAAATTCAGACATTCCATCAGGCAGCCAGCGTCCACAGCTGGAACTGCCACCAGCCAGGATCTATTAAAGGCTTTATATTTAACTCAGCAAATTTTTGGAAGGGGATTTTCCCAGGAAACTCTTTCACTCCCCACTGGGGCAGGATCTTTGCTGCCCGTGCCTCTGTTTGAAGGTGTTGTGGTAAATCCCTGCTTGGGTGAAGCATAATGTCCAAAATGGATATTGGCAGCACAAATCCAGGCACTTAAGAGTTGGTGGAACTTCTGTCATCTCTTTAAATGCTTTGGCCAGAAGGCAGCTCTTGGAAAAGCAAAAGAAATGTGGTGTCAGTCAAGAGACAGGGTTTGCTATGCCCCAGAGACAGCCTGCCCTGTTTTGGGGTGGAAAAGGACCTTTTAGGTCAACCAGAAACTTCTGTGTCCTGCCAAAGCAATAGCACAGGGACATGGCTGGGGAATGAGGAGGGGAGCAGCACAGCCCAGGGTAGGTTCCACTCTGGAGAAACTGCCTCTTTCTGACCCCAGGCAAAGTGGTTTTAACCAATTTTTGTGTTGGTTATCCCCCAAGATCCCCACATGGCCCCCCCAGAGGGGCCATGGTGCAGCCAAACACAGGACAAGTCACACCAGTCACTGATAATGAGGGATGTTTTGGCCTAAAAAGGTGCTCCAGAAGCTGGAGGGGAGTCTGGTTCTGCCTGCCTCACCCAGTTTGAGAGGAAAGGAGCAGCAGAGTGTACAAAGCTGCAGATGTTTGTGTGGCAGATGAAAGGCTCCGCTCAGAACTAGGTCAGATCACGAGGGCCTGCAGAGCAGCGGCAGGAGCGGGCTCAGCCTGCCTGATCAGCACCCAGCGTGGATCATAATGGGAATCCGCACTTCCCGTGAGGAATTAGCGAGTATGAGCTAAGCAGGATGGGGACACCAGTACAGGGATGTCCAAGCACTTGGTTAACACTTCAGCATTTGTGCTGGCTGAGGTGCCTATTGCACCACTCCTCGGGGACACGCAGGGATGAGAGAAGAGGAAGGTGACAGAAAGCAGAACAGAGGCCTGAGGACAGGTTCTTCTGTAGGGTGGGAATGAGCCTTTCCCAGATTCCCTCCCCAGGCAGGGGAGCATCCCTGTCTCTGCACAGCATTTGGCAAGTCCCAGCACCATCCCACGACTGCAGCAGTGAGGATGCCTCTGGTCAGCACGGGGATGGCATGGGCTGGCAGCTGGAGACCCAGCAGAGCAGCATCCATCTCCCTTGTCTTTCCCAATACCTTCCCTTCTCCCTCTTCCCCCACACTCTATGTCCCCACTCACAGGCACAACCAGAGGATAACTGGGCATGGGAAACAGTGGGCACTTCCCTTCCTGATGCCAACCCCGTGACCTCCCATTCCTCTTTCCTCTCAGACTGGCTGAAGGACAGAAAGGGCTGAAAGTGGAGAACAAACCCTTCTTCTCCAGACTGACTTTCTTCAACGTCTCTGAGCAGGACTATGGCAACTACACCTGTGTAGCCTCTAACCGGCTAGGGAACACCAACGCCAGCATGATCCTCTACGGTGAGTAGGGCTGAGGGAATCAGCCAGGAAGGGGAAATGGCTTCACAGTGACACCACCAATGGGGGAGGCATGGGAAAGGTCTCCCATGTCTTTTGGGGGAGATGTGTATTTGCTGCTGATCCTTTCTGCCCTTCGCATGTGGGCTGGAGGTTGTGGTGAGTCCAGGGAAAAGGAAGAGCCACCAAAGCTTCCTCCTGATTGAGGTTCAGTGTCTCCCACCATTCAGAGGTGCTTGGCACTGTGTTTGGGATCTGCCATGAATGCAAAGTTAGGAGCTGGCTGCAGGTTTCCATCTTCTTGCTCTGATGAGTGTCTAGGAGAGCCTCTGTGTGAAGGCATCTCTCTGTGTTGATGGGTGGGAGGGGAGATGCTGCCCCATTCCCACGTGAGAACAAACAGGCTCCCTGCTCCATCACCTTCCAGCTCATGTTTTCTGCTCATGCCAAGCAGATAGATCCTTATTGGAGGTGCCAAAGGAGATGGGAAGGTGTGGAAGGCAGGGACGAGGAGAAGGTTTGTACCCTTGTCCCAGGACTGTTTTCCCTGCATGCTGGAGCTGGGATGAGAGCAATGTATCCCTCTGACACTGCTCATGGATGGGAAGGGCTGTGATTGGTTGACATATTTGTCAAACCTCTTCAGGTGGTAGCAAAACCAGAGCAGGGGCTCTGTTCTCCAGGAGACAGGAGACAGAAATAGATGACAGATCTCATCCCTGGGCACTGCTTGGGAATATTTCCCTGCTAGGGTACAGGGTGTGTGGTTCTTGCAGCTGAGGATACAGGAGAAGTGGGGACAGGGGACATCCAACATCTCCCCAGCATTGTCCTCCTCCTTGCCACCCGATGTTGTGCCTGGTCATCTCCTTGTCTCTTGTTATTGTACGGTCAGAGGGAGCAGAGCAGAGTGACAGATGAGCCCTCCTCATCCCCACGTCCCTCAGGATGGCTCAGGGCAGTCTGTGCCCCAGCCATGTAAAGCGGGTTGGGGTAGGGAGCAGGGTATGTGATGGGTTCTGGAGTGTGCCACAGCAGCAGAGACCCTGGGAAGTGCTGTCCATGTTTTGGGGGCTGGTTGGATGGATTCCAGGGGAGCAGTTTGTTTAAGGATGGTAGGGGATGTCGAGCTTTGCCAGGGGCCGCACCACAGCCGTGGGGTCAGGGTGCCATCACAGGACAGGTTTATCCTCCCCTCCCACTGGTACTGGCAGCTGTGCCAGGCTCCCCTGAGCTGTGACAGAGGAGTTCATCCCATCTTGGATGCTCAGACCTGTTTGCTCCCCCAGTAAAGTCCAAGCCGTGTGTGATGAAGGTTCATGTGTGCTAAGCCATCATTAGCGTTGCTTAGGAACTATCTCAGTCCTCTTCCCCGCTGGCCTTCCTGGTAATCCAATAACTGCACGTTTTAGGGACACCAACACTGCAAAACCACCCAGGCCTGGCTCCACCTGTGCTGCAGGTGTAGGGTGGCCATGCCAAGTGTACAACATAGCCTGAGTGACATCCTTAGCTGTGATGTTGCAGCATTCCAATGTGTCTATGAGGTTAAAATCTTAATTAGTGGGGGCATCCAGTTTGGCATCTGCAGATTCAGGCTGAAGAACAGCCTAAAAGTAAAGATGACATCTCCCTGCTGATGGGCTCTTGGTTTCTTGGGTTCTAACCCACCTGTGGGACTTGTGCTGTGATGGCAGTCAGGTGGGAGGCAGGGAAGCATCCCACAGAAGTCTAAGCTTATTTTCTGATCCGCCCTATGATTTGTGGTCTGACTGAATCCCATCAGGGAGCAAAACCAGATTCCTTTGACCACGTATAATGTCCATAAAGGCTGCATTGATTGAATGATCCATTCAGTCTTTAATAATTGAATGCCCTTGGGGGGGGTGACAGTTCCCTGAGGAGACTGTGACATGTGGGGGTCCTTCATCTCCTGGTGCAGGGCTCCCCAGCACTTCCAGGAGCAACCCCTCTCTAATTATCAGCAGTCATAGGGCCAAGCTCACCTGTCCCTAAGCAACTGGTGTCTTCAGTCTGGGGATTAATGTGTCTTTATCAACATATTTATTAATTTAATGCAAGATTAGAGGGAAGTAGATGCGGTGGCTGCACTACCTGTGCATGAGAAATGTCTCTTCTGTGAGGTTTTGGGGGACAATTTTGTGAGTGGCCCCTTTTCCCTGAAGCTGAGTGTTTTGGAGTTTTTCCCCCACAAATGGAGGTTTAATCTGTGCAGGTACCGTGACATGAGCCTTTTTGGGGTTGTGTGAGAAGCTAATGTAGCGTTCATCTTTTAATCCTTTTTTTAATCTAATTTTTCATGGAGGTCAACTAGTGCTTTATTTAACATGTAGCGCTCGTTATTCCAGTCCTGCCGGCTCATTCAGCGGCTCATTTGGTGCTGTCTGGGATGTGATAGAGTGCTCAGGGAAACCACATCATCCTGAGTTGGGGAAAAAAAACCAACCCTCTGCTTCTCACCCATCACACAGTCCATGTTGCTCCCAGAGGTAGCTGTCAGGCCATAAATCTTTTTGGGATGTTGCAGGATTAGCAAGAGGGATGGACCCCAAACTCACAGGGGAGAGGTGATCCCCTCACATCCCCATATTCCAGCCCTTGTGCTTTGCCTTTTGCACAGGGTGCAACTACAGGCTTTGCCAGGTCTGAGGCCCCATATCCAGCTCATCTCAGGTTCCCTCCGAGACGAGGGGACCGTGGCCCCACAGCAGTGGGCTGTGATTTGAGCAACATATCCCATTTCTACCCCATCCACTGGTTTTCCCACCCCAGGTCGAGGGCAGGCTGAGGGAGGTGTCTCGAGCCTGCGCTTTGCATTGCCCTTTTGCCTTAACTTTCACTTGTTCTTTAATTTTTAGAAGAGACAACTACCGCTCTGACACCCTGGAAAGGTCAGTAATTTGGGGGTTTCCCACAATGCCAGTGCTTCCCCTGCTGTTCCCCTTGGGCCCCTCTGGCTTCCACCACAACTCATCTCAGTGGGAGCAGCAGCACCCACCACCTGGATCTCCTGCCCCACAACCCCACTGCTTTTACTGGTATAGGGATGAATTAGGGCTTTCTTAGCTGCCCTCCCATCCTGCCCCTCCCTGCCAGCCTACAGTGCCTGTCTGGTGGTGGCCTGTGCCCACTGCATGCCTGTCCCCATCCCATGGTGTCCCGCTCCCTCCCCATTCCCAGGGCAAAGCAGGGATGTCTTTGGGCTGCTTTCCCAGTGCTAATGTGTAAGTGGGTCTTGTGGCAGGTCCTTTCTCCTCTGGGATGCTTCTAGTGTCTTTTTTATGGGATGAGATAGGGGTGGACAGGCCCCTATGGATTTGGTCTCCTTCCTGGTGTTATTCCTGGCCTGGGCAGTCAGCTCTCTGCTGTGCAATCTTAGTGTCCAGCCAGCTGGCTTGGTGTCATCTTGATTTTGGGGTGGCTTTATTTGTGATGATTCGAGTGGTCAGTCCTTGGGATGACTTGAACATGTCTGTGGAGGTAGTGTGTGAGACCTGGATCTGGTGCCTGGATTTGTGAGGTGTGAGGTGTCTGAGTGTGCTGCAGAGTGTTACTGGTGAGAAGCCAGATGGGTACTGATGCTCAGTGCCCTGCTCAGGTTTTGAAGTGAGGGGACATGTCCTGGGGTTTCAAAAACAGTTGTGAATCAGACCTTGTGGTCAGCCCTGCTTCCACAGGACACCAGCGTGGATGCCTTCCTGAGCTCTTTTTCCACCTTAGTCTTCTCCTGGGCCAACTATTTGGTGAAAAAATGGGTGTTTTGGCGAAAGCCATTGGCTAAGACACCCTCCACATCCTTTCCCACAGTGAGCTTTGAACTCCTCACCCCCTCTGGTCCCCAAAGATGGGTGGGCTTGACTCTTCTTGACCACCCTTCTCATCCCATCTCCTTGTGCTGAGCCCCACAGAGGCTCTGAAGACGTGCAACACACCAAATCCACAATGCAGTGCTGCTGGCAGTGCCTCTGCAGGGTGGGCAGGTGGTTACTGTCCCTTCCAAGGGACACTAGTGGGCAACAGGGTGGTCGCCCTGGGGTGGGCAGAATGTGCTGGGTGAAAACTCTTATCTCCCCTATGAGTGTGGATAGAAAATTTGGAACAATTTGGAGGAGGGTGAAGGGGGCTGAGGGAGATTGGATGGTGGTGATGCACAGGGAGCAGGCTTGGGATGAGGACATAGGGCTGAAAGGGGACCACAGAGGATCTTGTCCCAAAGACCAGCATTTGTGGGGAGAGGGGTGGCTGTTCCCATGTTCTTGGCACAGCACAGATGGAGGGGGACACCCACAGAGCTCAACCACCGAGCAACCCCACCACGTGCGACACCACCGGGGCCCCAAACAGCGCCTTTGTTTTTTTCTCTTTTTTTTTGCTTGTTTTAATCTTTATTTTGTGGTTTCTGCTATTTGTTGACTTTGTGACCAACCACGAGGGCATTCCTGTCCCTTCCCGCAGGCCCTGGCGCAGTCCACGACGGGAACAATGGCGCATGGCGGCGAAGCGGCTGCGCGTGGCTGCTGCTCCTCCCGCTCGCCCACCTCGCCCGCCAGTTTTGACCCGAGAGCCGGCCCGCGGAGTAGCGGCGGCGACGACCACGGCCAGCGAGCTCAAGCAGAAAGGAGAGGAAGAAAAGAAGAAGAAGAAGTGTTCACCGTTTCTGAAAATAATCATAAGAATTGAGAGAGTATCCGGCCAGGCCACCTGGGGGAGGGGGAGAGAGGAAAAACATGCAAAAAAAAAAAAGCCAACCACAACGGGAATTTGGAATGGAGAGAAAAGTGAAAAATTTAATAATCCAAGGCTTCGTGCTGAAGATGCAATGCGACTGAGTCTTTTTCTTTTCACCCTGTTTTTATTTCTTTTTTCGTCCCTTGCCACTTTTTCCCCGTTTTCGCCGTTCTCTACCACGGGCCAGCACGGAGGATGGACAGGGCCATCAGAGTGTGGCACTTGTCCCCTGCCCTGTCCTTTTCACCGGCCCTGCTCGCCTGCTCCCTCCCGAGGGACCCTCCATCCAGACACACCGGGTTTCTCCTTTGCCAAGATTTCCCCGTCTTCTCATGGACTGTGCCGCCATTTGTGTTTCAGAATATATATATATATATCTATATCTCCATGTATACATATATATATATATGTACAGATATATAGATCTTCGACAGTTATCACACCACCACGAAAGGAAAGGGAGGAAGGAGACCGGCGTCAAGCCACGCTTTCATCGTACCATCCGCGGACATCGTGAATGATAAGGGATTCTGAGTCATGGTTAATTTTATTAATTGTATTTTCTGATACGAGCTTAGAACTCTTAGTTCCTAAAAAACAGAAATGCAAAAAAAAAAAAAGAGGGGAAAAAAAGAAAAGAAAAAAGAGGAAAAAAAACAATCCAGGAGAGGGGGAGCAAGCGGAGAGAAGTTTGTTTGCCGAGGAGGCGACCAGCCAAGGAGGTTTATGAGCCCAGCAAGGAGAAGGAGGAGGAGTCCTGTGCTGAAACCCCCACAAAACCGGCCCAAAAGCGGTCGTCTGGACAGTTCCTGCTGAGGGCACAGACGACACTCGCCGCGCATTGAGGTGGAGGGAGATACTGAATCTTTTTATGGGATATATATATACAGTATATATAAATATACATATATATATATATATAATTCTTTTTTTTGTTAGAGTTCTAGCCACGGTTCCCAGCAGGGTCCTTCCGCTGCCATTACTGCATGCTGTATATGGAGTTAGGTGTGTATCGGTTCTCAACGAGACAAGTGTCTCTGTCCACACATCCCTGAACCCCCTCGGCTTCCCACCCTCGGGTCACCGGGGACAAAGGGTCACAGGGGACCAGGGCCCCTCTCCATCGCTTTTTGCCGCGTGGCCCTGGCCTTTTCGCGGTGGAATAAAGCGAGCTGAGGGACAGAGGGAGATCTATATAGCTCAGTTTTGTATTTTTATATATATATATATATATATATATATATATATATATGTGTATGTATATGTGTGTGTGCGTGCGTGTGTGTGCGTGTATATATATATATATATATATATATATATAAAAAAAACCAAAAAATACCCACAAAAGAAATAAGAAAAAGAAGACGAAGCAACTGGCCCCTGCCGAGGAGCAGGACCTGTTGCCTCGCCATCCATTTCAGCGGGGGTTTCTCCTGCAATTGGTTTTCCTCCTTCAATTTCCTTTCCTTCCCTGCGGCCGGCGGCGGGGGGCACGCGGGGGGCCCGGGCGCGGGCAGGCGGGCGGTGAGGGGGCTCTCTCTGCCTATCCATTAAAACGATTGTTCCATGTGGCCGCTCCGTCTGGTTGTGGTGCTCATTGCCGCGGGGGCCAGGGCCACCCCGCGTTCTCCCCTTGTGCCACCAGGAATGGGGAGGGATGTGGGGAGGGATGCTGGAGTGGGGGTGGCAGATGGGATCACCAAATCATCACAATGGGCCAGGAGAGCATTTGGAAAGATGGCCTCTGGATCTCACCAGGAATTCTGTCACAGGTGAGGCTTTGGTGAGTAGATGGAGAGAGTGTGAGGCACAGCTGTGCCCTATTTCCCTGCTCAGGACCCCACTCAGTGCCCCATAGCTCAGCGTGGGGCTCTCTAGCCCAGCTGCACAGCGTGGCAGGGGATGCTTGCGGAGCAGCTGAAGCGAATCCTGCGTGGGAAGGAGAGACAGAGTGATGTGAGGTGGGTGCAGGGAACAGGGTCCCCCGTGCAATGCTGCATACAGGCGAAGCACGACAGGATTGTTTGGGTGTAGGTGCATTTTGCTGTCCATGGAGGCTTGACTTGGTCAGTGTCTTGGTTTTTGGTGAAGCTGGAAGGTTGTTTAGTGAGTTTGGTCCTCAGCCCCAACTGTAGCCTCCGGGGTGCTGGTTTCTTCAGGTCACCTGACACATTTGCAGGATCAGAAGTTGGTTGCTATTGATTTGGTGTGAGATTTGTGTGTTTATTTCTTGACCCTATGATGTAACCCAAGAGATGAGCATGGAGAAGAGGGATGGGAAGGTGTTGCTTTGAGGTGTGACATGCAGTGTCCAAGTGATACCGATGTGGGGTAAGGGAAGAACCGTGCTCAGGCTTTGTGGCACATCCCAGTAAGGGACAAGGTACTGAGGGTGTGGGGACAGGACAGATGGGCACAGGTGGCAGGGTCAGGATGACAGAGAGGATGGTGTTGGTCTTCATGCAGATCTTGCAACTCCCAGGTTGGACCAGTCAGCCATGGTAGAGTAAACTTGGTAAGAGGGGCAGTGCCTGGATTCTTGGGGGTAATGGGGAGGGATCAGGAATCGGTGTGGAGGAAACAGGGCTCTCTCCCTCACCTCCTCTGTGTAATTGTAACTTTTTTGGTGTTCTAGGTGAGAGATCAAGGAGTGTCCAGTGCCAAAGTAGCAGACAAAGAGGAAGTTAAAGAGAGAGAGGCGGCTCGATGGATGCTTTTATGTAATAATTTATTGACATAGGTAAGGGTGTCTCTTGGTGCTGGGGAGGGATGGAGGTCATGGTCTGAAATATGCCCTCCCTCCCCCTGCATGTAGCAGCTGAGGTTCTTGTCCTTAGGCACAGGTTGGGCATTGCTGAGGGCCATGGAGAAACATCCCTCTCAAGCCAGGAAGGGGAGATGGAGAGAATCCCATGGCCAGAGAGGGGCTGCATCACCTCCCCGTGCTCTGTGATGGGGACAATGCAGATGAGGCATCAGGATGTGCCATGAGCAGGAGCGTTTGGGCAGCTCTAAGTATTCACTGCAGTGGAGGCAGGTCCAGCACTGGGTATCCAGCAGAACTGGCATGGGAAGATGGGAAGCATTAGGGAGGCTTGGATTGTGGTGGGATCCCCAGGGGCCACATGCAAGGGGTGAGTGTTGCTTTATGCCACCTGTAGCTACATCAAATCAACCCTGGCTCCCTGATGGGTTGGGGTTTTTGTAAGAGGCTCAAAGCAGAGTGTCTCCCATGGAGGTCACTAATGCTTGATTCACTGCAGGTGACATTGAGGAAAGTGGGTGAGGTGTCACATCCCTCCCAGATCCCTTCCCTCAGGAGGTTGTTGGGTTTTGGGAAGCACTTACCTTTCTGCTGGGGTCACTCGAGGGGGACAGCAGGGTGTCCCTGATATGCAAGGTCACAGCAGCTCATAGCATTGCTGGGATGGAGCTGTTTGCTTGTTGTGGGGTTATGGGAAATAACTCTTGAGACTGAGCTTTTCATTCCCACGTTGGGGAAGACGAAGGGAGGTCTCAAAGTGAGCAAGACTCTGGTGGATCTGTCACAGTCCCACTGCCCCCAGTCTCCTGGCAGCAGATCTCACATTACAGGAGTGTTTCAAATGTTTTCTCCTGGTTGATGGTGTGGAAAGGTGAGGCATCCCCAGGGAGCGGAGGGCACAGTCTGCTGTGAGATTACAGCCATGTCAGGGAGATGCTGAGGGTCATGGCTCTTCTGCTCCTGGTCCTCAAGGTTTTTGTCCTTTGATGAAGACATTTGTTTTGTGTCACACACTGCCAGATCACGATAGGAGCAAACCTCGGGAGTGCATTGTCTGCAGAGACATCCCTTCACAGGGGCAGGTTTAGTTGTCAGAGTTAGTATTGTTGCAAGATGATGGAGGAGATGCTGGGAATGTCTCAGTTGTGGAAAACAGGCCCCTGATCATGCTGCTTCCACTGAACATAGGTGAGTGACAAGAGCAAAGACAGTCCTTACCCTGCAGGGACTCCATCAACAGGTGCGTGCTCATTGCTCCTTGGCAGACAGAGGTGGGCAGGACCCAGGACTCACTGGTGGATTCCCAGGGGAGATGCATGGATGGGGTGAAGGATGGCCCAAACAGCAGCAGGCCCCCTGCTGTGGGGCTTGAAGCATCACTATCACAGGGGACAATCAAAACAGGGTCCAACCAAGTGCTGGGTGAGATCCCAGGAGTGGCAGAGGTCCCAGGCACTCAGGAGCCCTCCCAGCTCAGCTCAGCAGGTGCCCAGCACCACGTCCCTTCCCTGGGGTGCGCGGGACCCGTGAAGCAAAGCCCCGAAGGTACAAAGTTCGTCAAACTTTATTGATACACTGCACAATCACAACCATCTCTTATTCTTGCCGAATTAGAAAAGGTTACAACTACAATGTAACATGCACAAATCTCAGGTAGTATAGCCACCCTTGGAATACAATGATCGACAGAAACTCAAGACCGGCCATCACGGCCGTCAGCAGGAGAGACCCGACAGCCACACTGCCCCCGCCCTGGGCACCCAGCCACCCCCTGGGCATCCAGACGTGGAGAGCAGTGGTCACAAATGGGTCTGCCACCCGGCAGAGCCGTGCTGGGGCCGGCGTCAGACAGCCAACACGTTCCTCACAATGGCACGTTACATGGCACGAGAAAGTCGAATGCCATCCCGGCAGGGGACAGGGGAGCCCACCCGACCCAGGGGCGAGGATGGGATGGGGGCAGCCCTGGCACCAGGCCCACCAGCCTCAGTGTGCGTCGTGGCATCTCGTCGCCGCCGCTCTCTGATTTGCCATGGCCTCTGGCCCTGTGATTCTGCAGCATTTCTGCTGTGGGGACAGAGAAATTTGGGGCTCACCAAGGAAAGGGCATGGGGTGGCAGCAGGGGACTGTTGTGGGGCAGTGCAGACCAGCAAAGGCAGCAGGGCAAGATGTCTCCTGCACCCATGGTACTTTTGGAGCAGACGTGTGGAAGGATGTGAGTGTTGCCGTGCCGGCTGAAGACAGTGCCATCCCCAGCCAATAAACATGCCCGGGGCCATGGGATAAGACCCAGATTGCCAACGGTGCCACCCTTCTTGGATGCCAGTGGAGAAGCAGAGCAGCACCGCAGGGACCGCAGGACGCGGACTCACCCAGTCAGTGCCGGATCCCTGTCCACCAGGTAAGCCAGCGCCTCAGGCCAGCACTGGGACAGCCCCTGCCCCAGGCCAGGCGGTTTTTGTCAGTCAGCCACGGTACATGTTGAACATCCAGGATGCAGGGGCAGCAGCATCCACTGAGATTTTGTAGCAGATCCTGGGCAGCCCACTGAGAACAGGGATGAAGACGGGCATAGCTGCATAGAGGACAGGGTGGTGGCCCATCATGGCCTCTGGCTCAGGGTGGTTTTTTCCATCTTGTGTGCTGAGGGCTGGCACCCCAGCTTCCTTGCAGCCACAGAAAGCAGGTTTGGGCAGCAGCAGAGTTTGCACGGGGAAGACAGCGTGTGCATGGTCGTTGCTCTTAAGTCATCTCACTTATGGAGGGAGAAGGAAGGGACAAGGCACGGGGAGGCGCCGGGTCAGGACAGGGGACACTCTGTGTGCTTGCTCAGTGCCTTGCTGGAGTTGAGTCTCCCTGTCACAGCAACAGGGTCCAGTGCCACACGTGACTTTTCAGGAGCAGAATGGGAGTGTCCATCCCCAGACTTTGTGGCCCCAAAGCATCCCTGGGTGGCCATGGAGTGACAAGAAGGCTCAGGGCTGCCACAATGTAGCAGGCAAGGGGGTCCATGGTGCACAAGGCTATCAGGAGCACAATTCCATATGTGGGGAGATGACATGGGTAGCGGGGTGGCAGCTCCCAGGGTGACTGGAAGAAGCAGAGAGGGCAGAGTCTGGGTGTGTGTGTTTTGGTGTCGCAGGCAAGTTGCAGCAGGGAGCATTGGAGCAATCCTTGTCCCTGCTGTGCCAGCACAGCAAATCAACAGAACCCAGTCCTCCTCCACAGGGTCAGACACATCAGATTTTCCTTAGACAGGGGCACATGATGGGCATGAGACAAGGCAAAGTGAGGACATTGCAGCTCAGGGCCCTCTGAAGGGCAAAGATACAGACGGTCATGACTGTCAGAGCCATAGCAAAAGGGCCTTGTCAGCTGGTGTTTTGATCTGTCAGTCAAAGCCTCTGCCCCACACTGTGATGCTGTGCTTTTGATGTGCAGCTTGGAAAGTGCTTGGAGAACAAGCCCAGAGAAACCTCCCCAAAAGTGCTGGCAGAGCATCAAGGTGAGAGCCATGGGGCAGCCCCTGCCATCAGGGGGGCAGCAGCAGAGTGGGCAGGGATCTGGAGCAAGGAGTAAGGGCCTGGCTGCCCAATGCAGCAAGAAGGCTCTAGTCTCTAGGAGGGCTGGTGGCAGTCCCCAGGGCTCACGTTCCCAGGAGAGCAGCCTCATGTCCTCAGGAAGGTGAGGGGGTTTTAGTGGGAGCCACAGGGGTACGATGTCAGCTGGAATAAAGAGCAGTGGGAAGTGCGTGACCCTTGAAGGACAACTGGTTGTGTCCGGTGACCCTCTCCCAAAGGGCCAGAGAGTATCCTGTCAGGAGCAGAGGCAGGTGATGGGGGGCTGGCGACATCAGGGTGCTTAGGGAGGAGCTTTGGCGACGAGAACTGACATTCAGGACCAAGAGGGCTGAAGGCAGAGCCAGGAGGCTTCAACCTTGGGGTCTTTTTGGGCATAGGCGGCTTAGTGAGACGACGAGACGGACATCCCGGTGAAGGCTCTGGGCGGCACCCGCCCCGACGGCTCCATGCCCCCGGCTTTGGAGATGAGGCAGCCACGGGGGGCACCGTCTGTGCCGGGCCACATCCCCGGGGCGATGGTGGCGGGTGACAGTCTGGTGGCACGTGGTGGGGTCTGTACAGCGTAACCGGCGGCGAGAACGATCCCGGCACGTGGGAGACGGGGCCATCCTCGGACGCTCGGCACCGCCGCCCGTCCTCCGGTGCATCGCCCGTCCGATGGAGAGGAGTCCCCAGGCGGCACGGCGGCCGAGCCCGCGGCGGGGGAGAGATGCGGCGAGGCCTCCCGGGACCCTCCGCTCCCTTATCAAAAGTCGAGGAGGAGGCGAGCGAGGAGGGTGGCCCAGAGGCAGAGGCCGGCAGCCACCCGGGACGCCGCGTTGCCGCCGTCGTGCACCGCTCCGGGCCCTGTTCGGAGGAGAGAAGAGAGAGAAAGGACAGCGTTAGGGCCAGCGCTGAGATGATGTGATAGAGCCAAGGGAGCCCACCTCCCCATTGTCCCTGCAGTTCACATCCCACCCCTAAGCTGGCCAGGGTGCTGTGTTCCCCCTTGGAGAGGTGGTGGATTTGTCCATCATTTGGAGAGCATTGCCAGTGTTGAGGAGGAGGTGAGGAGGTTTGCAAAGAGCTTGAGGAACACAGCAGAGACACAGTCCTTGTCTGAGGAGGAGGAGGATGCCCTGGCCAGGTGCCAGTCCAGCCCCACCATGCTTGGAAGTCTCCTTGGAGAGTCCTGATGCAAACAACCATGTGAAAACCACTGGGACCAGAGACCTTGGTGCTCCAGAGTGGCACAGCTTGTGACTGCTAACAAAGGATGGTCAGCTCAGGAAATGGCATTGTCCAGATGTGGATTCTCAGGTATGCAGAAGCATTTTGGGGCTGCTGGGGCAGTTCTTGGCAGGCAGGTCAGGCAGGGAGGAGGCTGGGTACACCACTGGAGTAGAGATTTGCTTTTTTGTTGTGTTAGGGCTGTTATTCAGGCTGCAGGGCACACAGGGGGCCAGTCAGGATGGGATGAGACAGCTGGGCAGTGAGGGAAGCAGAGGCAGTCACCACACACTCTGCCACAGGGACATGGGTCTGTCTGCACTCCTATGGCCATGGAGAGGCAATTAGGGAAGTCACAGGTCTGAGTCCCAGTCCTGGCATTCTGAGAAGGAAGAAATAGAGAAAGAAGTGCTCAGCTGTCTTAGTATCAAAACTCAGGGCATGGATGAAGTGTGAAGTCAATGGGATTCTTATGCATTTGTGAATAGGTTGTCATGGGTTCATCATAGAATCCCAGAATGGTTTGGGTTGGAAAAATATCTTGTTCCAGCCCCTGTCAGGGGCCAGGAACCCTTCCATTATCTCAGGTTGCTTCAAGCCCTGTCCAACCTGTCCTTGGACACTTCCAGGGATGGAGCAGCCTCAGCTTCTCTGGGCAACCTGTGCCAGGGCCTCACCACTCTCTAAGTGAATTTTTTTCCCAGTGTCTAGTCTAAGCTCATCCTCTTTCAGTTTAAATCCATTCCCCCTTGTTCATGCCCTTATCAAAAGTGCTTTCCCAGCTCTCCTGTAGCCCCTTCCAACCCAAATCATTCTGTGATTCTATGAAATCATACCCAGTTATAATAATTTCCTCAGGATGGTGTTATTCCTTGTCTTTTTATCTACTGATTTTTTTGTGAACATTTATCTTAATTCAGGAAGAGGCAAAGGAGAGTTTGAGATGTTAAATCCAAGCGCTGCCAGAAGGTGAAGGAAATGATAGGAAGATTGAGTGATGAGCAAGAAGCTGTGTCATGCCCATGCTCAAACAAAATTGATTATAAGAGCACACGATCATCCAAGAGGGGTAGAACAGCTATGCCATAATCAGACATTTCCTTGCTGAATAGACCTTCTGATATGAAAGGTGGAAACCCACATTTCTTAGGGGCAGGTAGAGCCTTTGCAGGTAGAATGGAAAGGGCTCCTTAACTCGGTTTCCCTCAGACCTGCTGCTGCTCCCTCTTCTTTGGTTTTGACCCCCCCCAAACCAAATGGCAGCAGCTCAGAACATCATCCAAAACCATAAAAACAGTGAAAATTTCTGCAGATTTAATACCAAATGCTGATTAGCTTAAACTTTTATGTATTTACACCTGCCCAAATACTGCTAAATTGGTGCCTTTCTCTAGTATCTCTATAGATGTGGATTTTAATGTGTGACTAATTCTTATCTCTATTTTCTAGTTCACAGTTCTGCACTGGTTATTGGCTTTGATTTAATGACACTTTTAGAAATTTCATAATCTATCCTAAAGCAATTTCATTGTGGTTGAGTTGGAGAGTTCCCAAATAGATAAGTCACCTAATACAGAGAGGAAATAAAACTAAAAATGCTGGGTCATTACTAGAAAAAAATAAATATTTTCTATTGAATTTATTCTTTATTCTTTTCTGTGGAAGAATATATTCTGCTATCAGACAGCTTGGCCTTGTAAAGATTGTAAAGATACTCTACAGAAGAGACAAGAATAAAGATACAGGGAGAAAATAAAGTAGTAATTAGATATGATCACAAAACGAGGGCAGATGGTTCATTGCATCCCAGGCTGCTTGTGACTCCTGTGTGTTCTCTGAACTGTCACTCTCTATGGGAAAAGGAAGCTCCCACTGGGACAGGGAGTGAACTCAGCTGAGGCTCCCTAGCCCTGTCAACCCAGCAAATATTTTGGCTCTGCTTTACTCAAACCCCAGTGCCTGGGCATTGAGGTGTGAGTGCACCTGGACTCTGGCTGCCCCTACTAATTATTTATTATTGCAGTTATTTATTATTGCTTGCTTTTAGTTTTCCTCCTCTTGATTTATTTTGTGTCCACTTTTCTGGCTATTTTCTTCCTTTCCTGGCTATTTCCTTCCTTGTCCATGAGGCAACCTTAGATTTTCTGGGACCTTGCTTTGACTACAGATGGCAAGGTTGGGATTTTGTTTCTCTCCTAAGATCTTGAATAGAAAGGTCAGAAGAAATCAGTGAGTTTATGGTGAATGGGTTTTCTTAGCCTATGTTGGAGGCACTCTCACTCCAGTGTGAGCCATGGGAATAGCACAGATGTTTACAGAACTAAGCAGTCCCTTCACATGCACCAAAAAATTGCTTTTCCTTTCTTTTCCTGCCTTCTTTCTGTCCAGGACAGAAGTCCTATGCCTTCCACTTCACTCCTCCCAGTTTGTTGCAATGTTCACCCTTCTCCAGGTGAGATACAGACCCGTGGAGATGAAGAATTTAGAATGTGTCTCTTGCTGCCTTTCATTTTCAGGACTCAGGAAATGAGAAAGGAACATGCAATGCCCAGGGTGCTGCTGGAGCCTCTCTTTCCTAGAGGGCTCAGGAAAGGACAATGGCTGCTCTCAATTCTCATGGAGCACACCAGCAGCCAATGGGGAAAGTCTGTCCAATTCTTCATGTCTGAGGAAGTCCTGGGGACCTGATGGGAGGAAGCCTGTGCAGTGTCTCATGTCTGAGAGCAGAAGCATCTGGAGTAAGTCTTGGCAACCTCCCCAGGATGAGATTTTTCCTGATATTTTCTCTCAGGTAACTGCATGGTCCCTCAAGGCCTGTCCCTGCTCATTGAAGGGTGGTTGGACTAAATGACCTTTAAAAAGTCCTTTCCAACTCAAATTATGATTCTAAGAAGACTCCAAAAGGGATGTTCACCCCTGTGACTGAACAGCCACCCAGGGCAGAGCAAGGAAGAAAAAGCACTGGCTTCTTGCACATGAAAAGGAGGCACAAGTTGAGCAGGACCTTAGGCTGGCCACAAACACAGAGCCTGGAACACTGTGGTAAAGTGAGCAATGGCTATAGGTAAGCATTTATAGAATAGTATAATATATGGATTATTTACAGCATCTAATGGCAAATTCAGCAATTGGCGTTTCATGAAATAGCTAAGAGAAAACCCAGAGTAAGTACCAAACACAGGAAGACAACTGCACGTGTGAAGTACAGGGACAAAGTGGAAATAAAAGTGTGAAAGAGAAGAAAAACCACCAAAGTGTGAAAGAGAAGATAAGAGATGAAGGCAAAGTAACCCCACAGGATAACAGGGAATGTGCTGGGAGAAACTCTACAAAACAAAAAAACTCAGTGAAAAAGAGGTGAGATTTTCCCTCATCCCTTCACAGGAAGATGGAGAAGAGAACATTGATAAATACTGAGGAAAAAGAAGATATCCCACTTCAGCTCTGGCTTCATTCACCAAGACATGAAGGAAGCTCTTCCCCCTCACCTCCAAAGCTGCCCAAACCACAGTGCCATGGCACAACCTCTGCCCCCTGATAAAAGTGCTCCCATTTGAGACTCATGGATAATTTAGGCCAAGTTTATTAAAGACTAATTTTTTACCTATATGTTGATGATGATTAAAGCCTAACCCTGGGTGCTGTGTCGTGTTAATGATTGCCTAATAAAGCCTGGTTTAAGGTTTCAAGCTGTGTTGGTGTCTTTGAAACATCTCACCAGATCTGCAGCTGCAGAAGGTAAAGGTTGGTATGGACAGAGGGACACAGAGATCCAGGGGTACCAGCCAGAGGAGATGGAGCTGGAGAGCTTCACTCTGCTCCAGATCCTCAGGATCTGCATCTTCTCCCAAAAAATGGAATGCAGGAGGAGCTTGTGTGCAGACAGCCAAGAGGTGCTCACAGGACATGGGTGGGATGGAATTTGGAGGCACAGCCCAGGGGCCAGAGGGAAGGGCCAGGGAGCCTGTCATGAGCAACTCATGGTGACAAGGGAACTCAAAGTCACCAGGCAAGCTGGGGTGAGGGTGGGACTGACACAGCACTGGCACCATGGCAGGCAGGAGTGACACAGCAATAGCACAGGGGCATTCCTTGGTGTGAAATGGAGCAGAAGGAGTCGTGACAGGGACACAAACTCAGGCTCAAGCTCTGGTGTCACTGCTGGAGCTGGTGACCTCAGATACTGGGACAAGAAAAATGGCTGAACTCAGTGAAGCCCAGCATGGTACCTAGAGATGGAACGTGACCTCAAATAATCCCATGTAAATTGGCTGACCTCAAGTAACCCAAATGACCTAAAGTAGCCCCAAATATGAACTGGTTGACCTCAAATAACCCCCAATGACCTAGAGTAACCCCACAATGACCTGTAGTAACCCCAAATATGAACTGGTTGACCTCAAATAACCCCCAATGACCTGTAGTAACCCCAAATATGAACTGGTTGACCTCAAATAATGACCTCCAGTAACCTCAAAGTGCTCTGCACAGAACAAGTTTGACCTCTAGTAACCCCAATGACCTATAATAACCCAAATGACCTATAGTAACCCCAAATACTAACTGGTTGACCTCAAGTAACCTCAAAGTGCTCTTCCCAGAATAAGTTTGAACTCTAGTAACCCCAGTGAGCTGCAGTAGCCCCCAGTGTTAATTGATTGAGCCAAAGTAAGCCAATGATCTAAAGTAATCATACAGTACAGAATGTGAATTTGTCCCAGGTAACCCCAAAAGATAATTAGTTGACCAAATAACCCCAACTAACCACAAGAGTTAGCCCTTTCCAGCTCTCTTGGAGCCCCTTTAGGCACTGGAAGGGACTCTAAGGTCTCCCCAGAGCCTTCTCTCCTGCAGGTGAACACTCCCAGCTCTCCCAGGCTGGCTCCAGAGGAGAGTTGCCATTTCCCAAGGGGTGTTTGGAGCAGGAGATGAGGGGAGGGATGGCTCAGCACGGAGTCAGGAGGCTCTGAGCACCAGCACAGCCATCCCCCAACATCAGCCACCTGCTGGACATCTGCCCTGATCCCACCTAGAACATCCAGACAGCATAACCCACTCAATTAACAGCAAAAAAAATCATTTTATTATTGACCAGAGAGAATTTGGAACTCCCCACCCAGCAGAGTTCTGTCCCCTCCACTGTTTCCAGCCAGGCTGGCTGTGGCACCACAACTCAGCAGTGTGTGACCACCAGTTCCTGAGCTGCCCACCAGCAGATTCCTGAAGCCAAATAAAGCTGGGATTGCAATTCCCCAGACTCTTTGGCAGCAACTTCAGAGTTTACAGATCTCAGACTTTTTGTGGGGTTTTAATAATGGCAGGTGGCAACTTGAAGAATGATGAAATGAGGTGTGAGCTGCTCCCTTGACCCGAAAAGCAGTGTTGGTGGCAGACACAAAAGAATATTTGGACAGATTCACCTGCCCTTCGAAGTTCCTGTAATGCACAAAAATAGGTGTGGGGTAATTACTTTCTCTCCTGTACAAAAGACCTGGTTCAGAATTATACTCCCTGAATACAGCACTGCCTCCTTCTCCTCTCCTTACTATTTTCCACTCCTAATATCTCCTAGGCACGTCAGATTACTGGTTTGTGTGCACAAATAAAAACAGAAAATCACTGCAATCACAGACACTCCACAGCAATAGGTAAACAGGGCAAAGATGCTATTTCTTACCTTTTTTTGTTTGTTTGTTTTGCATATATTTTGCATTGAGACTCTTTTTGCAAAATTCAAATAATTTTAGTAAGACTCTGGCGTAGGTTTTCCAAAGAAGCTGTGGCTGCCCCTGGATCCCTGGAAGTGTCCAAGGCCAGGCTGGACAGGAATTGGAGCAGCCTGGGATAGGGGAAGGTGTCCCTGCCCATGGCAGGGGTTGGAACTGGATGAGCTTTAAGGTCCTTTCCAGCCCAAACCATTCTGTGATTCTATGACTTGGGTTTTAAGTGTTTTAAGTCAAGCAGTCTTTAAATATTGAATCAGAGCTCTTATTCTTAAAGACATAATTGCTTTCCCTTGCTTTTATGTATTTAGTCTGAAGCTGCTGATTCTTAAGAGAGTGCACAATAAAGCATGAAAAGATTTTATCTCTCCATAGAATAATTGGTTTAAATCACATCTAACACTTGGTATTTTAACTTATATTCAGTTAATTCACCCAATCATCAATCATAAAGATTACATACTAGAAATGAGACCCTGAACATCAGAAAAATGCAGATGGCATCTTTTATAAAACATCTCCATCTCTCTTTACTCCAATAGCTCTTCAATGGAAAGGGCCAATAAAAAGTCCCAGAGCTCCCAGTTCGGACTGGGGGCTTGGGGGGATTTCCCTTGGTGACTGAGGGACACTCTGCATTTGAAAGAGATGTAAAGACCCAGGTTTGGGTGATTTTTCACTCTTATCTCCATATATAAACAGCAAGTACAAAATGCAAAAAGTGAGCCCAGACATGACATTTTTAAATAAAAGAATTAGCAGATTTCCAGCCACTTGTGCTCCTCTCCCCTCTGGCAAAGGCTGGCAGAGACTGTCCAAGAAACACCACGCACAAACCCAAATAGAAGCTCTCCACAGAGCCCATCTTTTCCACTCTCCCCTGGGTTTCCAAGAAGCTGCAGTTTTGACTGACAAGCTGTTGAATTTCACAACATGTTCACAAAATGAAAAAAGCGCAATCCTTGAGGAAGGATGGAATCCCACCTGCTTAAATTCCTTTTTGAGCTCACTCCATGGCCTGCTCCTCACTGCTCCAGTGTGTTTCACTCAACACACTCTTGAAAGATGGGGGAAAAATAGAATATGAATGTTTGCCTTTTTCTCCATTAAACTTTACAAAATTAAAATAGCTTTAGGTGTCCTGAGCATTCACACAGTAATATCCAAAGGATGTGCCAATATCCTTTCAAAGACAAATTTAAGCTTCAGTGTTGGTGCAGGTAAATACCCACATGGAAACAAATAGAACATTTTAACTTTTCCTTCCTAAGGCTTTGTCTTGCTGTCTCACTAGTAAATATTTTCCTAATCTTCCTTATATAAAACAAGGATTAGAGGAATATTAGCGTTTCACTGAACAGACCATCACAAACAGGAGTTGCTCCAGGGCAGGGAGAGTTTTACAAACTCAGCCACAGGATTGGGCTCCTACATCTCACTTTTTATGGATGATTTTTAATATCCCTGTTTTGCCATCTATGGGATCACCTCTAATGCACTTCATTTCAACCTGCTGGATGTGTTTGGGGGATTAATTTATTAAAATGGGGTGCAATTTTGTTTTCTCTGCATGTTGGCATCAATTAATAACCAGTGTGAGAGGATTGCTGTGCTGTCATGAGAGGAGTGTGTAAAGAGCAACACTAACTGCTGAGAGAAGGAAAAATGTCTGAAAATATATGCTGTCAAATAGAAGATAACCATGAGATAACTTGGAACAAAACCAAAAATCCCTAATCCAGTCTCCTTCTGAGTAGAGGGAGTTACCTGGACTGCAACCTTTTCTTTAGTCTGGTTTCAAGTCATGGAAAAAAGAGACTTAGGAGATGTTATTTTGTCTCACATTAGGGTAAGAGCAAGTGTAAGAGAGCCAGCAGGACAGGGAAACAGAAAAAAAATGGATATTGGGGAAACTTAATTGGAAACTTAATGTACTTACTTATGTACTAATTATCATAAATACAATATTTATAGAGTCAAAGAATCATGAAGGTTGGAAGAGACCCTTAAGAGCATCAAATCCAGCCATCAGTTCAGCACTGCCACTGTAACTCCTAGGCCTTATATATATAAAATACCTCATGTATTGTAAGTTATGTTTTGCACTATATAAAACCTAATAATGTATATTAGATATTCTATAATTTATATACTATGAGCATAGTAAATAATATATAATAAAGAACAATATGTTTTTATATAACATGTCAACAAGACATACTATTAAATATATGAATAATATTGTTTTCATACCTATATATTTGTATTATTGATATATCATTATGAAAAATCTATACAACATTATATTTGTATTGTATTACATTATATATAGTCTACTATGCTATACTGCATTATACTGGATATTGGGAAAAATTTCTTCACCAAAAAAGTAAAACACAAGAGAACAGACCAGAACAGTGGAGAGAGAACAGAACCCAGAGCTTTGGCCCAAAGAGAAGAAATCAGGCCTGGGCAGACGAGAACTGGCACACAACAGAACAGAGTGGAGCAGAAAACACCTGAATGAGCTGGCCAGCCCACAACCAAAGCCAAAGGTGTGCCCCTCCCACCACCCCACATCACCATAGCCCCACCACAGTGTGAAGCTCTGCTCCCACTGTCCATCCTGATGCTGCCAAAGTCCAAGCTGGTGTGGAAACTCCTCTCCCTCTCAACATCTCCTTGAGCCTGCTACCTGACTTCCATCCTCTCCCTCCTGCTGGAGCCCAGCTGGGGGAAGGCAGACCCCTGCTGTCCACCCTTGGATCGTGACAGCTCTCTTGTCTTGTCAGAATGCCAAAGGAATGAGCCACAGGTACACACCACCTTCCTCAAAGACAGCTGTCCTTGATGACACCTTCCTGCCCTGGCCACCTGAATCCAGGGTGATGTCACCTGTCCTGCTATTGCCAGTACAACATGCTCATGCTGGCAAGTCCTGCCGGCAGCAAACAAGGGAACACCCCCACACCATGCACCCGCAGCGCGTTCTCACCTGTCCCAGGCTCCCTCCTCACCCCTGTGCTCCAGCAACACCAGGGTTCAGCCGACTGTTGGCCAGCTGTGCTGTGCACCCAGCGTCGGGCTGACACAGATCTCATCCTCTGAGCATCCTCTGGCAGGACCTCCCTGCTCGGGGTTTGTGCTGTTTGGCACCTCAATGGATGAGGAACACCAAATACAGCCAGCTCTGCTCCATCGCTCCACCACTGGCCATCTGCCAGCCTGCTTCTCTTCATCCTCCTCCTCCTCTTCATCATGCTCTTCAAACTCCTCTGCATCCTCCTCCTCCTCTTCCTCTTCTTCATCCTCCTCCTCCTCTCCAAATACCTCCTCTTCACTCTCCTTCTCTTGTTCCTCCTTGTCTCCTCACCTTACTGCAAAGAAGCAGCACCTACCATAGAGGATGATGCTGGCGTTGGTGTTGCCCAGCTTGTTCGTGGCCACGCACGTGTAGTTGCCATAGTCCTTCTCCGAGACGTTGAAGAAGGTCAGCGTGGACAGGCGGCCCTTGCTCTCGATCCTCACCCCCTCCAGCCCGTTTGCTAACCTGCAGAGGAAGGCAGACAGCAGCGATGGGAGAACGGGGCTGGGGCTCCAGGGTGGGTCTTGCCCCTCCCTGGGCACCCCTTGGCTTCCCACCAGCCAACATCACTATACACCCACATATTCCCCTGCTGGACTCGTGCATCCCAGTTTTGAACACAGACTCTCCATTCTGCTCTCCATCCCATAGCCCAGCCTGACCCATGTGTCCCACAGCCACCATCCCTGGGAGAAACAGCTCTGGGATTTCCTCAGCCCTTAGCTGAGCACCCACCAAAATAAGTTGATCCCAGCCTTTTTCCACATGATGCCCTCAGGCACTGTCACCCCCCTTCACCTCCTCACCTCCTCACCCCAAGGCTGCAGTTGACCCCCGTGCTCCACCACCTCTGCAGCCCCTCACCTGGTGTCCTCCTTGAACCACTGAAACTCCGCCACGGGGACGGCCGAAGCCTCGCACTGCAGGATGCCCTTCTGGCCCACCGAGGCACCCGTGTTCTTGGCGTTGGAGATGTACGGTGGGTCTGCAGAGACATGGTGCTGTGTCACTCTGGGCCATGTGTGCCCACCCCCACCATTCCCCGGTGCCCTGCACTCACAGTTGACGGTAACTTTGACTTTCCGCACGTCCGGGACGGCCACGTCGTTGACGGCGCTGCATTCGTACTCCCCGGACTGCTCCCGCGTGATCCCTGTGATCTCCAGGTACTCGTCCTCACTCACAAAGGTCTGCCCTGAGGGATGTACTGAACGTGTGGCACCGTCACCCATGGACACCAACACCAGGAACCTCCCTGTGCCCCCTGCCCCGACACCCCCTGCCTGGGCATCTGGCATCCCCTCCACCCAGGAAGCACTTGACAAGCATCCTCGGCCCATCCCAGTCCACACCAAAATGTCAGCACCTCTGACTCTGAGTCACCTTAATGCCACCCTGACCACCTCTACAGGGACAACCATGCATCCCAGACAGGCCAGGATGACCCCTCTCAGACCCAGGAAGTTCATCCACCGAGCAAGCGCTCACCTTTCCCGGAGAGGTGTCGCCACGTCACGGTGGGCTCCGGTCTCCCAAAGGCCAGGCACATGAGGGTCACGCTGCTGCCCTCGTTCACGGTGATGTCCGACGAGATGTTGACAATCTGGGGGGGCACTGCAAGACATAAAGGCCACCAAAGACACCATCAACACACCAGCTTGTCAGGCACAGCAGGGAGGCCCCAGCCATGAGACCTGTCCCATCGTGTGACGCTGGTGTCCGCTCCACTGCCCTTTGCAGTCAGCAATTCCATGTCTCCAAACCAGGACCTTGGACTGGAGCCAAGCATGGATCTGGGGTGTGGAGGGGTCCACTCACTGTGCCAGCCCCCCCACTCCATGGCTGAGACCCCGATAACCAGCTCTTGTTATGGCCTGAGACAAGGCTCATATTTTAGCATATTTATTAAAGCTGTTTAAATTACTGAGCGTCTGCTCCTTCAATACTGGCCAGGGTGATTTATATTACTCTATCCCCAGATACTTCATCTAATAAATAACTTGGCAATCTCCGTACCCATAAATATCCCTGGCCATGGCAAAAAGCAATTAAAGCTCGCTTGCCGATGCTGCTTCCTGGTGCTCTGGGCTGTCGGACACAACCCCTAAAGGGTCTGCACCCCAGGGAGTAAATGAGGCCACATTTAACAACTCTCCCCAGACAAAACACCATACCTACAATGCCAGCCAGAAGGGATGCCCTGTGCCCCCTCCCCAAGCACACAACATGCTGAGAGCCCAGGCCAAGTGGCATCAGGTGCCCAGCCCTTGCACCCAGGGCTCTCCCACAGTGCTGAGATTCCAGGATAATCACCTGAAAACCACGGTGGCCAACACCAGAGAGAGAAAGTGGGGCTGCCTGGCTGTCCTTGCACCCCCAGGGAAGCTCCCCTCACACTCCCAGGGAGGTTCTCCTCTCTCCTGGAGCAGGAGAGGCAGCACAGCAGGATGAGCCATGGCAAAGATGCGGCACGGGCTCTGCAGCCCTATGGTTCTGCAAAGCAGTAAATTTCCCAGCAACTTGACACATTAATATAGAAGTACAGTCTGTTATAGCAGAGGGAGATTGTCTGAGTCCTTCAGGGGAAAGCAGCAATCCAAAAATGAAAAGTGTGTGCCGGCAACTGCTGGAAAACGTAGTTAACGCTCAGAGCAGAACTGCCCAACTCCGACAGCGCAGCCACAATGAGCTCCAGGAAGGCTGCAAATGGCCCTTCCTCAGACAAGATGACACTAATCCATACCACCAGCATCCTTGCACCTCTCCCCCCCAGTAACAGCACCTCAAACTGGTACCAGGAACATCTGAAAACTACAAGAACATCCAGGATGAGGCTTCCCACAACTGGGCATTTTTCATCTGCTCCTGAGTGTCCTAGTTTAGGGCAAATTTGGGAGGAAAACCTGCAAACCAGCTCTCCTCGTGAGCAATTTTGGTCTGGGGTGACCACCATTGTTAGAGAGGATGCTGAGATCTTAGGATGCCACCCCTGCTGCAGATGGCAGCCTGTCTCTTCCTTGTGTGCTTTTGCCTGCAGATGCAGGACTAGATTGACATTGTGTGATGCAGAGCATCACCAAAATCATGGTAATCGTTCTATCCTTGCTCTCTCAGCCTCCTCCAATTCAAGGCTGACATGCCTTTCCTGTCTGCTGAGTCCCAAACCACAAGTACAAAATGAGATGCAGAAACTGATGCTCTGGGCACAAATGTGAGCCTGTCCCCCTCCTGCACAGAAATATTTTCATTCCTGTGGAAAAAATTACCACTACCCAAAACCACTACAGTCACAGTGCTCCCATTTGGAAAACCCCAAGCCACACAAACCCACGCATCAGCCTGAAAGCCCTTCCCTTAGCAAAGGATGCTGACACAGCCATGCCAGCAGGTCTCACAGCGGGGAACTGCATTTCCTAAACCTCCAGAGGCCAGGGAAGCGTGGCTGTGCTTCCACTGCTGCCCTAATCCAATCAGGAATGCCCCTGTGAGCCAGCAGGACATGTGGTGGAGGGACACCTGTGGACAGCACGGGGACCCCACTGAGCTGCTCGATACCCATGACTGCAATCGTTACCTACAAAGTTACCAGGACTTGGAGAAGGACATTGAAGGACCTTGATTACATTTTTATAGATCCCACTGACTGGGCTGTCAAGGATGGTGTCTCAAGGACACCCTGGTTTGCCATGGGAGTACTGAATCCTGTGGGATGAGCAGGTGGAAACTGGGGCCACTTAGGGATGCAGGCAGAGTGAGTTTGGTGGCAAACATGACTGTGTGGATAAAACCTCTCAATACCATGAGACAGGGATGGCCAAGGCACGGCTGCCTTGACAAGCACATCCCACTGAAGCTGCCTTGTCTCAAGGTGGTGACAGCTTGGGATCGGTGTTGAGTGTGGAGTCCAAAGGCTCTCCCATGCCCCATAGATCCCTCCTGGTCCCCAACCAGGTCAAGCAGCCCTGCTAACGCCTTGCAGTCCTCCAGCATGACAGTGTGTGCTGTTCCTAGTCCTTCACCTGCTGACAGCATCCTTGCCCTGAATTACTTTTGGTTCTCTACATTTCCCTCCCTCTGCCCTACACAGCCCTACACAGCTGCAGTGAGAAAAATAGGGCAGAACACCCTCTCTATCCCCTTTTATCTATGGCCCTTCCTTGCAGAAGTCTACAACTACAAGCAAATCCAAGCAAATTGAATACAGGATAAATCCTGAGGAAGCGACGAGCGGCACAGTCTCACCGGAGCGACGAGCGACGCACAGAGGGTTTCGTCAGCCCTGCGTAATATTAATCACAGGGAAGTTAATGCATAAGGTTTGGTAAGCCAAAAAATACATTTGCACTGTAATTTCTTGTTTGTTCGGAAAGCCATCGAGAGAAATTGAATGTGAAAGCGATGCCACTAAATTCAATAACAATAAGCCCGTGATTTATTTCCTTCCTTTACCACTCGAGACCGGCACTGCCTGATGTGCTGATCCACACTTTCTGTGGGCCTGGGCACGTGCCAGTGTCTGCCACCACCCGTGGGGACTGTGAGGTGCTGTCCCTCCCCTCACCTCCCAGACTGGGTGCTGTGGGGCTGGCCATGGGGTCACGCCTTGGTGACGCTGCCACGTCCTGTGATGCTACACGCGGTACCTGGGGTATCTGTGCGACTCTCCCCGGTACGTTCCACCCACCAGTGACGCCTTTGCACTTGTCCCATCTGGGGACAAAAGCCACGGGGAAGCTCGGCCCTGGCAAGCCACAGCAGACACCCAAGCGTGAGGAGGGATGGTCACTGCGGGCAGGGACGCCTCTTCCCCACCAAACCGTGCGGGAAATGCAGCACCTCGGGAATGGCTGCGTGATCGGTGACCGCACATGACGGTGACGCACACACCGTGTGCGGGCTGACTCATCCCCCGGCCGCTCCGGAGCGCCGATCCCTACCGGAGCCACTCGCCGCCGTGGCCCTGGATTATTTTTAGCTGCCAGATCATTACTGCTGCACGCCTCGGAGCGGAGAGCCTGCATGAGCACAGTGGCTGACACATGCGACTGATGTCCCTCCTCCACATCATTAGCTCCTAATCCATTAAAAGAGATCTCTTCCTACACTGCTGATAAGGGGAGATGACAGATGGATAACTATGGGCTCCTCAAACCACCAGGCAACAGCCACTTGTCCACTTCTACTTGGGGGACAGGTCCCCATGGGGACAGCAGAGAGGGACAACTCATCTTCGGAGCTCTGAAGCCTCTGTGGACACTGTCACACCCACAGCACATTGTGCTTCTGCCACCCCCTCTCACACACCTCCTGTTTTGGGGAGATGCAGCATTCATGCAGCTCCCTCCCCTCTCCAGCTGCAGTGTCCAGCTGTGTCCTGTGACAGGTGATGCTGTCAGCAGCAGGGAGAGGGACTGTCACCCTAGCAGGGGACGGATGCCTGCAGGAGATGACGCTGCCTCCCTTCCCAGCACCCCAGCTGCCTATAGCCCCAGGCATCTCCAGCTCTGCACAAGCCTCCCCGGCACAGGCAGGATGGGGCTGTCAGAGGTGTCACTGTGCAAGGTCTCATTAGTGTACAGAAAGTCAGCACAAAAGAGGCAAATATGCTGAAAGCTCACATTTTGCCTGTGCTTTCCATCTCCTTCACTGATGAGAAGCACAGCAGGGTGGCACTGGGGCCTCCTCCAGTCCCTGTGTGTCTGCTGAAGGAACCAGCAGGACGAGACTTTCCTTAGAACAGCTCTTGCTTGGGGCTGATGCCCTTAAATGGGCCACCTGAGAGCCAGCTCCTGGCTGGCAGATGGAAATGTTTTCCCTCTCTCCAACTCACTGCTTTTGGGGTGCAGGAGACACACAGAGCGACCCTGTGCAAATGCACCTCAATATTCCCACGGGGGAGGTGACTGGGGCAAGGAGGTGACATCGAGAGTTTTAACAACGTGTTGCTTCTCAGCAGCGATGATGATCATCTCTGATCGAACCGTTCTGGTGACAGCTGGGGATCTCAATAAAATCTGAGGGATTTTATTGAGATACTGGATGAAGCACTTCTAAAAGCTACAGTTTGGTCAACAAAATGATCTTTGTCAAATTTCCCTGCCAAGCAAGCTGCATGGCATGGCCTCCCTTTTTCTACAAGCACTCCATTTTGGTAATATCTTACTTTTCCCTTTGCTTCAGGTCTTGAACACCCTCTTTTCACAGAGTTCCCCCAGTAAAACACTCTCTGTGGGATCCTTTTACAGGAAGGAACATGGCAAAAATGAAACACAGGCACCGAGCACCCCTTAGCCAGGAGGAGTCACCAGACTGCTCGCAGTGCATCTTTTTTCTCCAAGTTTTCATGTTGAGACAGGGAAAGCAATAAAACCAAAACTCACAGTGTTATACCTACTGTGTAACCACCTGTCAGTAAATTTATGAACAATTAGGAAGTGAGAGTGCTTCCCAGGGAGCTATTTGTGTGCGAGCTAAAACGTTCTTTCTGTTCGGAAATATAATGGGGAAACAACTTCACCAGTTCTCCCTCCTCTTCCCCAGTTTTGTTTCCTTGCAGTAATTAATCATCTGCTGGTCCCTGTGGCACATCCTGATGGCTCCTTTTCACCAGTTTCAGGCAGCTTTGAGACTGGGAACCCAGGGATGCTGTTGGGTGCACCCCATCCTGTCCCTTTCCTGTTCTCCCATCCAGATTTTGGGTTAGCACGTGATGGCAGGTGCTTTAGGGACAGTGGCTGTTCCCATCTGGGCAGTGCATGTTGTTTTTTGCCTGCCATTCTGACTCTTCCTCCTTCCAGACCTTCCCCCTCTCCCTGCCCTCACTCCTTCATTATTCTTTCATTTCTCCCCTTTGTTGCCTCCTGCCCTTTTGATGCTCCAGTGCTTTTCTGTGTGCACACATCTCCTTCTCTCTTTCCTTTGTTCTAAGGTCTCTGCGCTTTTCTTCTCATCTCTCTTTTTTTTTGTTTTGTTTTTTTTCTCCCTCTAGTTGCTTCAAACTTTGATATTCCTTCCAGTTTTTCTCTGGGCTGCTTTGTCTTTGAATTCACTGCCACATTGCTCCTGCACCACCTTTCTTTGGCCGTTTTCACTCTCTTGCCCATCCTCTGCTTCTTCAGGGAGGAAGGAAGGTTGAGACAGGGGTCTAGCTGCAACTTTCCATCCAACCTTTTCCCTTTGGAGAAAAAGATCTCAATGGGGGTGGCTTGGGCGGGGGGGGGGGGGGGGGGGGGTGGCCCTTTGAGAACCTTAAGGAGCCATTTGTTATCACAAGGGAAAAATAAAAGATTCAGTTTGGTTTTCAAACACTCACACAGAAGCTGCATCTGCACTGGTGCTGCTTTGAGAGGCGGTGAGTGAGACACAGGACCAGCATCCTGGGGTGCATTTGGATATCACACCACACAACCTCACCCTGTAAATGATGCCATGGCCCTTCAAAACCCTGTCCTGGTTCCGAGGGCCAGGAAAGCAGCAAACACCAGGATGGGAAATGGACTGTGCCAACCAGAAACAGGACAAACAATGCCAGCAGCTGGGAGAGGCTTCAGTATGGTGAGTAGGATTAAGGCAGTATAGGGAAGGGTTCTCTAAATGAATCAGAAACAGAGGACATCTAAGAAATACCAAAGACCACTGCTAGGTAGGAATGGCCAGTACCAAGGTACCAAAATCTCTACCAGAAGGGATCCCAAGTTCACAGCCTCCACCAAAACACTGACCCTGAGCTCCAGGTTTCTGACTGAAGTACACACCCTGAAGCAGCCCAAGCCATGAGGGCAGGGCTGTGTCCTGCCTGTGGTCTACCGCACTCCTCACACCAGAACCATCCTGCAGCATGATGCCATTAAGGTCTCCCAGCTCCTCCTTGCAAACCTGCCCCTCCCAGGAGCTCTCCCTGTCCCTCTTTTTGAGAGGTGGCCTTCACAGTGCTCACCCCACAGGCAGGAGGGCTCAGCAAGGTCCACCCCACTTCAGCTCCACTGCAGCCTTCATGACGAGAGGAGGACAGGGTGGCTCATCTTCTATTTATATGAGTTTAAATGCTTGTTCTCTCTGCGTCCCAAACTCTCCCCAGAACGCCATAAACACCACGCATGTCTCTGAAAGCATCCATCCCTTCGTCACAAGGCAGCTCCTGACAAAAAGAGGAAAAGGGAGACAAAAACAACCCTCTGGCTTCCTGCCATCTACGCTCTTATAAGCCCTGTTAACGGCTGTTGCAATGAACCAATGCAAGAGACATATTAATAGTGCTACTAAGAGACACATTTAGTGTTGACGGCGATTCCCTGGCAGATTTATCGCTGGGTTGTGGGGAGGGAAAGCCAGGCCCCTCAGTAGCACAATTAAAACCCAATTGAACACGGGCACAAAGAATCAATACTCTCTCCGGCCAACTTATAGTTTTGCAAAATACAAATAGAAATTAATTGACCTGAATATAGTTGCTAACTGGTCATTACTGCTTGTTTGCCATCCTGCTGGCACAATGAGGGCAGCAAACAGAGGACAGACCTAAACCTCAGTTTTACAGCCAGAAACAGGGCTTTGCTCCCATCCCTGCAGCGTGTGCTCTGCTTGTAGTAACAGCCAGGACCAAATCCATCTCTGGAAAATCATTCCTTTCCTCTCAGCCCTGAGCAAAGGACTGTATGTTGTTCACCCTCACAGAAAGCAGAATGTAGCCACCGAGAAACTGCAGCAGAGCTGAATGATGGAATAGCTTGGGTTAGATGTGACCTTAAAGATCATCTCATTCCACCCCTCTGCCATGGGCAGGGACAACTTCCACTAAACCAGGTTGCTCCAAACCCCGTCCAACCTGATCTTGAACACATCCAGGGATGAGCCCAGCTTCTCTGGAAAATCTGTACCAGGCCCTCACTACCCTCACAGGAAGGAATTTCTTTACATCAAGCCTAAATTTCCTCTCTTTCAGTTTGAACCCGTTTTTCCTTTTAACTACAGTTCCTGACAAAGAGTCCCTCTCAACTTCCTTGTAGGCTCCTTCAGATACTGGATGGCTGCTCCATACAAACTCCTCTTCCTCAGGCTGAACAGAGCACAGGAGGATTTGCCTCTCTCGTCACCACCATCAAAGGCACCTAGGGATGGATTTTCTCAGCTGGGGAAACAGTGTGGTTTGAGCTTAACACATTGAAAGGGAAGCACAGACACTGCTCAGCATGGACCACTTGACCTGTGCCTGCACCCCCAGTTTCTCTCATGCCTCCCTCCAGCTGTGCAGAGGTGACACTGCTGAGAGCCACAGTCATCGCTGCGGTGGGAGCAATTCAACACAACTTGCTCACACCAGGAGAAAACCTTTCCCCAGCACGGTTAGGAATGGCTCAGCAGCAGACTGTCACTCTGGACACAAACTCTCTCACCTTCACCTGCCCATGCCTGGCAAGTGCCTGCACCACCCTGAAAAAGGGGTGAGGGCAGGGGTGCTCATCACCGCCAGTTCACCTGATTTCATTAGGTGCAAAGCACTCGGATACTTCACCAGTGTTGACTGGATGGATTAGCACGATTAGAGAGCAGACAGGATAAACAGATTAAACCTCACAGATGGACAGCTCGCACACAGCTCAAAAAGGAGGAGAGGGACAGCTCCAAACAAGGGGATGCAGGGATGCTTGCAGTGGATCTCCGCTCCCCCTTTCCCGAAGTGAGCACTCCTCTTCTTCACCACAGCCTGGTGCACACAATCTGGGACTTCCCACCAGGCAGGAAAACCTGCTGGATAGGTGACCACAATCAACCCCTGCCTCTAGCCAATGAGAAGGGTACATAAATACATACATAACTCTGCTGGGGGCTTCTCAGACGTGTCAAGGCTGAGAAAGTTTTCAGATTTGCTCATTGCAAAATCAATACCCATCAGCTGTTTGAAATTAAAGGAAAGATTAGGTCCTGGTTTTATACACGCTTTATTGTATTCCGAGAGCTTTCTACTCAGCAAAATAAATCTTCTTTAAGAGGATTAGGAAACTTTCATTATCTTTATCTAACCTGAACTAACACTAACTCTGAAAAATTAATCTAGAGACCAGACAAAAAGCCAGTAGCTGGTGCAAAGCCACAAGAATCCTGAGGAAACATCCATCAGAGTGCTACAGGCCCCTCTGATCTGCCAGCACCTGGATCCCCCCATCAGAACAGCCTCAGGACACTGCTTTGCAGCCCAACAGCATCTGCTATATCAAAACACTTGCCTGTGAAGCCCTGTGCCAAGAGCCCTTCATGGCCCCACAGTGACTTTGACCTCTCTCCCAGAAGCACAGATCCTTGTGCTGTTGGGATCTGCTTCTCCTCTGTGCCTGGCAGCACATTGCTTTTGGCTCTCCTGAAGCAACTTCAAATGTGTGCTTGAGAACCTTACTAAGGAATCCCTGCAGGAGCAAGCTGAGTAGCATGGTTCCAAGCACTGGAGACAGGTCAAATTCACAGCAGGGGACAGGCAAAGGGGGAATAAAGCAGAGCTCAGCTGGACCATTGCCATTTCTCAGGTGTCCTGAGACAACTGTACAACAACGATGTGACAACTATAAAACAAAGCAAGGCCAAGACAATGCACGTTCATCTCCTCCTTGGCATGGTGAGCACTTGTCCACACCACTGCTCCCATGCCATGCCATGGGAACAACTAATTCTGGCTCCAACTCCACTACCAAGAGGGCCTCCAAACCCTCCCCAAGTCCAGGCAGCCTTCCAGATCAAAGCATCCGGCAACAGCACGAGGCACGCTCAGACCTACCTTGCACGATGAGATGGACACGTGAAGTCTTGGGGTGACTGTCTGTCTGCACAGAGCAGGTGTAGGGCCCCTCATCGTAAATGTCCACGTTGTGGATCTTGATGCTGTACTGGGTCTCGGTGTTGGACAGGATGACCACACGGTTGTCTATAGACCACTTGTCATTGCCGGCATACAGGATGGTGCTGCGGTTCAGCCACGCTACCCGCGTGACCCGGTCATCCACAGTACACCTGGAGGGGACACACAGAGCGTCACACACCTGGAATGGGACACACACACAGCATCCTGGGGCCCAAAAAGGGATGGGAGCAGGATGGGAGTGTGGCTCCCCAGCTCTGCCAGCATGGAGATGCTGCATGCCGTGGCTGTGCTCCCTGTTTCCGCATCCCCCCATCTTGTGAGATTTCACATTAACAGTGGGTTGGCCAGAAATAAAACCTTCCTTTTTCTTTTATGCACATCTGGGGAACCACAGACAAAATTCCCATTGTTTGACCTCTGCAAGCCAGGCAGACAATCTCTATCCCCCTTCTCACCCACCTCCCCAGCCCCCCTTGCCTTGGCTGTGCACTGAGAATTCCAGATGAAGCTGTAAAATGTGCTGACAGCTCAGCTTGTCGGCACAGCCCTCGAGCCATCCCCGGGGTGATAAACACCCCTACTGCTGGGGACAGGGGCCACAGCACATGCACAGGGAGAGGGGAAGAAGAGAAACAGCCGGAGATGGCCAAACCAGCACACAGGGAAGGGAAGGGAACATTTGGATAAGCAGCTGTAAATCCTACAAGTGCCTTGAAAACACAACACGCTCGTTTCCATTATTTATTTCCTGCCTGGCTCCCACCCTCCCCGCTCTGAGACGTGCAGGAGCTCAGCAGCTCCGGTCCACAGCGCTGAGTTACACTTGGCAAAGGATGGCATGGGGGGGAAGGGAATTAAAATGTTCCTGGAAAACATGGCTTTTTCATGCTCTTTGATAGATTCTTCTCCATCTATTTACTTGTGGTATTCTCTGCTGCTGCCATGGAATCTGCAGCAAAAGCTCTGAGCATTTGGTTAAATTAAGAGCATCTCTGGGGAGTTTCACCTTTGCCACCTGAGGACCAGGCTAGGGAAACTTCCTCTTTGCATGAAAAAAAACAGGGAAAATCAAGCTAGACGTGAGCTAGTGCCGGCAGTGGCAGAGCTGCCGCAGCTTTGTGCAGCCAAGATCGTAGCAAGAGGCACTGACAGTCAATCAAGAATCTCATGTGAGTCCCTCTCCACGTGCCTGTAAATTCATAGAGGGGCTGGGAGGCTGTTCCTGTCCTTGTCCCCCTCCCAGCCCCTCTCCTGCCCAGGCTCTGGGGGTGTTATATGCCTCCCTTGCTGAGATTGCAGAGCGTCACCTCGATCGAGATTATTAATCGGGCGCAGGGAAGGGGCGATTCTTGGCATGTTTGAGGGTCCCCCCGGGTGCTCAGTTCAGAGGAACGAGCCATATATTCTCCTGCAAACAAGTAATTTTCCCCTTGCAGGAGCTGTACGTCTCTGCCAGCCACATCACGTAGGGACGCCGGGAAAGACGGATGGCCCTCCACGCCTGCCGCGGCACCGCCGGCACGAGGGGAGCCTGCCTGGTGTCACACATGCCCCGGCGCCAGCTCGGCTCTGCCGGACCAAGGCAGCCCTGTGCCGGCACACAGCATTGTCCTTGTCGGGAACCGAGCCCTCTCTTCCTTCAAATTAACTGGGGGAGAGCTAAACACAGCCGAGTTAAGTTCGGCCCTGGGGGATTCCAGTCTAGTGGACTATTACTGCTGTCTCACTTCATTATAATGAATAATAAAGAGATACTTACACACGGCTTCTGTAAATTATTCATTGCGTGCGCTGAAAAATCAGGGCAGCAATATGTAAAACAGACAACTTGCATGTCTGTGCTCATATAAATATCCAGACTACAGCCCTGCGAGGTACTCTCGGGTCCCCTCATTAGGGGTGAAGCACAAGGACTCGGGTTTGAAGTGACAGGGATGAGACGCCCGTGCCGGCGCCGAGTACGTTCAACTGCTGCTGCCCAGCTTTGGCTGGCGCTTATGGGATGTGCTTCCTGAGGAGATCTGGGGCCAGTCCAGGACACCTGAGAACTGGGGTGGTTCATTCTGCATTTACAGCTCACATTTACATCTCAGAGCTGCACCTGCAAGAGCACTCAGGGATGCCCCAGGTGGACACTGGGGTAAGGACGGCATCACCCTCCCTTGTCCGTGGTGCTGTTGACTGCTACTGCCCTCAAAACTACTTGGAATGAGCAGGCAGCAGCAATTGGAGACCTCTGTAACAAACCCAGGCCAAGAGCAAGGAGGCAAAGGCTCCTCCTTCCCATTCCTCCAGCCCACTCTTCAGCCACTGTCACCCAATAGCTAATTTAGGACCAAGTCCCTTTGGTTTTGTGCAGCATGCTCCTCTCCACCAGAGCCCAGACTGTCCCCTGCTACAGACCACCAGACAAACCACCCTCCTTCAAAAAAACAGCCCTCCTGCTCCTCCTGGGAATGTGTCAGAACCACTAATGGAAGAAAAGCCCCATCCATCAGCTGGCACAGAGCACATGGCATTCCTGAAGGCACCTTCTCAGCTGACCTCACCTTCCCACCACCCATTTTCCAGGCCCTGGCAATTGGCACTGCAAAGAGAGCACGGACAGATACCCTGGCACTAGGAGCACCTCATCAGCTTCATTACCTGTCTGGGAAAGTGATCTCCATTAGCTGCTAAGCTGATGGCACTCGCTTGTCTGCTGAGCCGTCTTTGCTCCCCATTTCCAATTGACCAGGATTATGATAATGTCTCCAGTAAGCAAACAGGTAAAGAGACTTCTGCAAAGTGTTTAGATAAAGCAGACAAGCTCTGACAAAGCTGGATAATAAAGCAGGCCAGGAGGTTTTCCCTTGAAGGGATCTAATTAAAACCAAAGACAAACCCCCATTAACAGTTTCCTGAAGGCACCGTATCCATCTCCAGAAACTGCCTTACGAATCCAGAAGGGACAAAAGACAATAAAGAGCCTGTCACATGGGAGGGAAATAAACTTACCCTGGTTCTGCAGTTCACCTGGAGAAAGCCCATCAGCAAGGCAGGGGGAATATCTTGGGAACAATATCATCAGCCCCCAGCACACGCTGTATCCCAGCTCCCCCACGCATCCCTTCTTTGTGCAACGTGACCTGTCCCATCAGCTCCTCCATCTCTGCATCCCACTTACACCCTCACTGCCTTTGAGCAGAGACTTTGCACCATCTGTAACCCTTCAGCTGCCTCCAAGCACTGCTGCTGTCCTCCAGAGTGGCTGGGGAGCTTTGGATGCCAGACTTTGCTGGAGCTCGGGCCCCCACAGTGCTCACAATGATACATGTGGGCTCTCAAAGACTTCATCATCTCCTGAGACCCATACAGATCCCCTCACTCTGCAGGAGGACGAGAGCTGTAGGGATCCCAGTGCTCCACCAGAGACGAGGGCAATGAACCTGAACGCGGCAGCGTGAGAAGATGCATGAGGGTGGGAGCTGGGGGCACCGGCTCTGCGCTGCTTCCCCTCTAATTGCCCCTATTCCTCATTCTTAAATGCTAATTTTGAAGTTTGCTGTGGAATTATTTCACTTAGTGTCAACAATACAGATAGCTCTGCTGACATGCTCTTTGTGTTTGGTGGCACACAGTGCCCGTCTCCCTCCTCCTGCACCTATTAGGAGAGACCGCACATGGCTCCCACAGCAGGCTCCTTCCCAGCCCCATCAATGACACTGACAGTGCCTCTCCTACCTGTGGGTTGAGCCATAACACCCTCCACCTTCATCCCTTGCCTTCTCTGGCCACGTCACAGACCTCTCCTGCACTGCTGACTTGGCTCAACATGAGGGAAGGCCCTCAACGCCTCCCCTGTGGTGAGGGAAATACTGTGTCCAGGGTCAGAACAAGTTTTCTGGCAGTAATTTGGAGGGATAAGCAGCACACAAAGAGATGGAAACATACAGGAAGTCTTGCAAAACTCTCTCCATGGCTGCAAAATATTCTGAAGAATGCATGGGATCCCAAAACGTTGATGTACGTCCTAAGAAATCCAGGGGACATGTTTGTTACTGAAGAGCCAAGACCACTGGTCCCTGTCCGTGCCAAGAGGCTGGGGGGATGGATCGACCCAAATTTGTTATCCAAACCTGTTTGGACATGTGGTGGGATTTTTGGGGTTGTCAGGACATGTACTTAATGATCCTTGTGAGTCCCTTCCAGCTGAGGATATTTGATGATTCTAGGATTCAAACCTCTCCTTTTTCCTTGTTCAAACCAACAATGCTCTACTTTTAAACTCCTCTATGGCCCTTCAACCCCAAGCTGCTTCTCTCTCCTGTAGGCAACATGTCTCGTCAGGATGACAAATGGAGATGCCAAAACCAGTTGCAAACTTGCTGGCTGACCCAGTTTTCAGCGGCTAAAATAGCTCACCCAGATCAGGAGCAAAGCCCCTCGACAGCCACCGGGTGATGCTTCACCCTGGGAAACCACCAACCAAAAATACCTGTTACAGGGGCAGAACAAACACCCTTGTCTTTGAGAGAAAATTGTTAATTACATCTGCCAGGGACTCCTAATGAGATTTCTCCTGCACTTGTAATATTCGCCCTGGCTACACGGTTAAGGGGCACTGGATGTTTTTTATTCTGGGTGGCTGGAGCAAAGGCAGAGGAGATTTATTTGTAATCATCGGAAATAAACACATTTCCTCAGAAGTAAACACAAAAGAACAGAACCTGGCTCTGCTCCCACTTCGTTCAAGATGCAAATGAGATGCAGACCATCAAAACATAGCAGCTCCTCTAATCCTCTCCCAACAATGCAACCCGCCACATTATCTGCAGGGACAATGGCATCTGTGCCTTGTGACGGTGGTGGGTAACACAGCAGCTCCCGAGGGCAGGACTGTGCCACCCCAGCTTCCATCACTGCCATCTGTGCCGTTTATTCCGGGGGTGGAGGGCACGGGGCACTTTGTCTTTCAATCACTGTCCTGTCCACTGGCACTCTGTCTGCTTTCTGAGTCACCCCCACTCGCATCTATCCTGGTGGCTGGATGTGGAGTGCACAGCTCCACACCATCCCTGCACCCTGAGAACAGCTCCACACCATCCCTGCACCCATCCCTGCACCCTGAGCACAGCTCCACACCATCCCTGCACCCTGAGAACAGCTC